CAATGATCTCCACCCTTCAGCCCACTCCAAAACCCTTGAAAACCCTAGCCCCAAACTCTTAGGGGAGATGGATGTGAGATTTCTTCCCATCTTCTTATCCCAGAGTAGCTGGGATTACAGGCATGCACCACCATACCCTACAATTAAACCTCTTTCTGTGCTGTAACCCAGTTATAACTGTAATAGGCTCTTTGCCCAATGCACACAGGAAATCAACATAGGGAGACACTGGGTCGCAGGAGAGAAGAGGTTTCATCTAGGGTCGCCAAAAGAGACGATGGGTTGAAGAATGCAGGGTGAAGTCACGGGACTGGGAGATGAAGAAGCTATGTTCTCTTGCTGATCCTATTCCTCGGTGGGTGGTGGCCTTCACTTTGGTTGCTGGAATTCCGGGTCTGAAAAGCATCTTCTTCATTTTTTTTTAGATTGAATCTTGCTCTGTCACCTAGCCTGCAGAGCAGGGGCATGATCTTGGCTCACTGCAACCTCTGCCTCCCAGGTTCACTTGATTCTCCTTCCTCAGCCTCCTGAGTAGCTGGAATTACAGCCTCCCAGAGTGCTGGGATTACAGGCATGAGCCGACACACCCAGCCAGAATCTTTAAACTCTTAAGAACTTTTAAGTTTTTTTAATCTACAGACTGTTGCAATCTTGGTCATCTTCAAACATGAGGCTCAATCTTTATAGTCTTGCTTTTTTTTTTTTGACACTGAGTCTTGCTTTGTCACCCAGGCTGGAGTGCAGTGGCACAATCTCGGCTCACTGCAACCTCCACCTCCTGGGTTCAAGTGATTCTCCTGCCTCAGCCACCTGAGCAGCTGGGACTACAGGCATGTACTGCTGTGCCAGGTTAATTTTTGTATTTTCAGTAGAGATAGGATTTTACCATTTTGGCCAGGCTGGTCTCAAACTCCTGACCTCAGGTGATCCACCAGCCTTGGCCACTGGGCCTGGTCAACAGTCTTGCTATTTTTATTCTAGGCTAGAGACCTTTCTCTTAAGAACAAAACTAGAATGCTCCCTGGAGTCTGTACTGATCCCTTTTCCCTCCCACTGTAGATTAGTTGTTTTTGTTGTGTTGTTGCTGTTTTGAGACAGAGTTTCGCTGGTGTCGCCCAGGCTGGAGTGCAATGGCCCAATCTCAACTCACGGCAACCTCCACCTCCCAGGTTTAAGCACTTCTCCTGCCTCAGCCTCCTGAGTAGCTGGGACTACAGGCATGCACCACCACACCTGGCTAATTTTGTATTTTTAGTAGAGACGGGGTTTCTTCATGTTGATTAGGCCGGTCTCGAACTCCCAACCTCAGGTGATCCGCCAGCCTTGGCCTCCCAAAGTGCTGGGATTACAGGTGTGAGCCACCACACTGGCCTTAGATTAGTTTCCTCCTTACATTTAAAAAGCCCTTTCTGGCTGCCATCCAGTGAGTGAATTGTGGAGGAGGGGGAGAAGGAGACAGACAGGAAGCAGGTAGCTCAGTGGGGAGGCTACTGCAAAATCCAGGCAAGCAATGACAGTAACTTGGATCAGGGCTGGTGTCAGCTGGATCAGGGCTGGTGTCAGCTGGATCAGGGTGGTGGAGAAAGGAGGAAATGGGTAAATTTGGGATGTATATGGAGGTAGAACCAGCAGGATTTGCTGGCAAACTGGGTTTAAAGTCAAAGGGAGAAATCAAGGTTAGCCCTGTCAAATAAAAACAGATGTGGTCTCAGGCGAGGAGAGACTTTATGCAAAAAGATGACTGCAATGGGGGAAAGACGGCTGCAAAGTCAGTGAACATGAGCAGAATCTGATAACCCAGAGGATGTGTTGTCTAATGAAACTAATATTTTTCCCTCCTCCTATATTTTGTTGTCATCAGCAAGTGAAAAGATGGTGATAAGTTTTTGTTTTTTTTTTTTTTTTTTTTTTTTTTTTTTTTTTTTTAAGAGACGGAGTCTTGCTCAGTTGCTCAGGTGGGAGTGCAGTTGTACAAACCCGGCTCACCAACAACATCCACCTCTCGGGTTCTAACAATTCTTCTGCCTTAGCCTCCCGAGTAGCTGGGACTACAGGCACATGCTGCTACGCCCAGCTAATTTTTTGTATTTTAGTAGAGACGGGTTTCACCGTGTGGCCCAGGCTGGTCTTGAACTCCTGAGCTCAGGCAGTCCACTTGCCTAGGCCTCCCAAAGTGCTAGGATTATAGGTGTGAGCCACGGAGACTGGCAAGTGATACCTTCTTCTTCTTCTTTTTTTTTTTTTTTTCTGAGACAGAGTTTTGCTCTTGTTGCCCAGGCTGGAGTACAATGGCGAGATCCTGGCTCGCTGCAACCTCCGCCTCCGGGGTTCAAGTGATTCTCCTGCCTCAGCCTCCTGAGTAGCTGGGATTACAGGCATGCACCACCATGCCCAGCTAATTTTGTATTATCACAGGCCACCAAATCTAGCCAGTGATATCTTAAGGAAGGAGATGAGAGAAAGTATTCCCAGGTGGGGTGGGAAGCTGGTAGAGCCCATTTTGCAGGAGGTGGGGGAATCAGGAATTCTTTTGGATCCATGAAGTTTGAGATGCCTGTTAGTTCTCGCAGGGATAGAACAGAGTTAGCAGAGGCTCAAGGTTGGATTTGGGACCTCCTAAAAACATTACAGGGGTTGGGCACAGGGGCTCATGCCTGTAATCCCAGCACTTTGAGAGGCTGAGGCAGGCAAATCCCGAGGTCAGGAGTTCAAGACTAGCCTGGCCAACATGGTGAAACCCTGTCTCTACTAAGAATACAAAAAATTAGCTGGATGTGATGGTAGGTGCCTGTAATCCTAGCTACTCAGGAGGCTGAGGCAGGAGAATCTCCTGAACCCAGGAGGCAGAGGTTGCAGTGAGCCAAGATTGCGCCACTGCACTGCAGCCTGGGCTACAATGCGAGACTCCGTCTCAAACAAACAAAAACCTTTCAGAACACCGGGCATGGTGGCTCATGCCTGTAATCCCAGCACTTTGGAAGGCCGAGGTGGGCAGATCACCTGAGATCAGGAGTTCAAGATCAGCCTAACATGGTGAAATCCCGTCTCTACTAAAAATACAAAACAGCTGAGCATAGTGGAGGGCGCCTGTAATCCCAGCTACTCGGGAGGCTGAGGCAGGAGAAATGCTTGAACCTAGGAGGCGGAGGTTGCAGTGAGCCGAGATCGCACCACTGCACTCCAGCCCAGGGACAGAGCAAGATGCTGTAAAAAAAAAAAAAAAAAAAAAAAAAAAAAAAAAAAAAAAAAAAAAAAAAAAAAAAAAAAAAAAAAGAAAGAAAGAAAAAGAAAAAGAAAAAAAAGAAAAGAAAAAGAAGCCTTCCAGAACAAGGCAAAGGAGGAACTGAGAACTTCATAGCAAGAGCATGTGAGCCTCCCCACCCCTCCTTCTTAGGCTTCAGGGCACACCCCTGGGGTGGCAGCGGCTAGAATCAGTACTAGAATCAGTGCTAGAGGAGATGGCGGTCAAGGATTCCCCAGACTCCAGGGAGCACTCTGGTTATGCTCTGAGAGAAAGGGCTCTGGACTAGAATAAAACTTGTAAGATTGCAGGCCGGGTGCTGTGGCTCATGCCTATAATCCCAGCACTTTGGGAGGCCGAGGCGGGCAGATAGCCTGAGGTCAGGAGTTTGAGACCAACCTGGCCAGCATGGTGAAACCCCATCTCTACTAAAAATACAAAAAAAGCCAGGCAGGTGGTGCACGCCTGTAATCCCAGCTACTTGGGGGGCTGAGGCAGGAGAATAGCTTGAACCCAGAAGTTGGAGATTGCAGTGAGCCGTGATCACGCACGATGGCACTCCACTCTGGGTGACAGAGTAAGACTCCATCTCAAACAAAAACAAAACAACACAAAGAATAGATAGGTAACAAAGAAAAGATAATAAAATGTGGAATCTGATGGGTATACAGGTGTTCACATTCTGTTTGAAATTTTAATATTTTTATGATAAAATATGAAATGAAAATGCAAAGCAAACAGAGTAACTGCCCTTCTGGAAACCCCTCCAGACAGCTGCTGTGTGCCATAGAAATAAGATGCAAAGTCTTTTCCTAGACTCTGCAAGAAGGCCATGCAGACTTCATCAATCTCATCACCTACGTTCAATATTTGATGCAACAAATATTTATTGAGTGCCTACTGCGTGTCAGGCACTGCACCACATGCTGGGGATACAGCAGTGAACCAACCCAACAATAACATTCTGCCTCCTTTCTGAAGACGCCCACCCCCCTGACAGGCCTTTTCACTTCCTGAAATTGTCTTCAGTTTCATCTGCATGTGGCTATGAGCTCAGGAAGGTCAGAGCCCTTCTCTCCATCACTTACAGCTGCATCCTTAGGTCTAGAACAAGGTCTTGTCTACAGTAAGACCTCAATAACTGTTAGTTGCAGAAATATTAGCCACCATCTATTCAGCGCTTGCCCTATCTGCACCTGCGTCTGCTTTAAATGGTTTGCACGGGTGTACTATTTAATCCTGAAAACTAGCCTCGTTTTACAAGGTTAACAGAGGCACGGAGGAGCTGGGCTGTGAATTCAAGCAGTCTTGCTTCCGCCATCACTGTCCTAACCGCGCTGCAAACTGCCTCTAAGTCTCTAAGTGAATGAATGAATGACTCAATCATTGTGACTGGCCCAAGTAGAAATCCTAACTCTGCCACTCAGCCAAGTTGACCTGGGGCCAACCGATTTATCTCCTTGGACCTCAGGTCAAGTCCCTTCTCCTGGTTCGTGAAGATGTAAGATACTGGAGAAAATTGGCTCAAAGATACCCCATACGCGCACGCACACACGAACCCACACCCGAACAATGAGGGAGGCAGGAGCTGGGGAGGGCGGCGCGGGGTCACCGCCGGGCGCAGGGTGGGGCAGCCTCCAGGCGGCCAAAGTCTCTGGCTTCCAGGTTTTTCTGTTTGCTTACTCCCTATCTGGGGGCCCAAGGTGCTGTCTCCGCCACCCGAGTCCCACGTAAACCCGGGTGACCTGGGAGGCATCGTTGGATTGTGAGTCACTGACATCAGGCGGCGGCGTGGGTTCGGGAGAAACCCGGCGGCGGGGAGATAAGCCTGCCCAGCAGGCAGGGGGATGGGCTGGCTGCCCCGCCCCGCGCCTGACTTCGCTGGGGAGGGAGACGCCCGGCTCCCGCCCCTGACTGGCCCAGCCGCGCGGAGCGCCTGGGAGAGGAGAAGGAGCCGACCTGCCGAGATGGAGGCGACCGGCACCTGGACGCTGCTGCTGGCCCTGGCGCTGCTCCTGCTGCTGACGCTGGCGCTGTCTGGGACTCGGGCTCGAGGCCACCTGCCCCCCGGGCCCACGCCGCTGCCGCTGCTGGGGAACCTCCTGCAGCTACGGCCCGGGGCGCTGTACTCGGGGCTCATGCGGGTGAGGGGCCCTGGGAGCGTCCTGGCCAGGGGCGGGGGTTCCTGGGGGACACACCTGAGTGTCAGGGCGAGGGACTTTTCGGGGTCCTAGGGAGGAGGGAGGGGCAGGGGTCCCAAGGCAAAGGAGCTGCGGGTGACCTGGGCTGGGGGCAGGTGCAGGTTGTCCAGGGCTGAGAAGCGGACGGGTGCCCGGGAGACAGGATCGTGCGGTGGGGGACGAGGGCGAGGAGGGGCAGAGACCTCTGCCTGCAGAATGCTGGGAAGGTGATGTACTGGGACCGAGGCTTCGAGAGACAGGAGTCCTCCAGCCAAGGAGAAGCTGCTGCGGCTGGCGGCTTGTCCCAGAGGGAGAGGTAGCTGGAGCCATACAGGTGGGGTATGCTGAAGAGGGGGCAAAGAAGAAAAGGAGGAGACTCTCTGGGGGGAGTTGGAGACAGAGAGGAGGCTGGAGGGTTGCAGGCTCAGAGAGGGGATCCCACTGAAGGAATCTGTCTGCAGAGAATGAATGCAGGGTGGGAGGATGGGTGGAGCTCAGCTGGGAGTTCCTGGGACTGGGGAGGCAAGAAAGAAGGCAGAGGCAGCCCCAGCCTTATGGGATAGCAGGTGGGAGTGGGAAGAGACCTGAAGTTCCCCATTCAAAAAGATTCTGGGTGATTTCAAGGATGTAGAAAAAGGGGTGTGGTCTTGGGGGAGAGATGGGGTGGATACTCAGCAGTGTCTGCTCCAGAATTTGACGGCTTTGGAGTGACTGAAAGGGTTGGCTGGATATTTGGGTGGTGGGGGGATCATAGGGAATTAGGGGAGACCAACACTGCTTCTGGATTGCCCAATGTCAGATGTGAGGGTTCAGCAGGAATCGAGGGAACAAGGGAATGGCAGGAAGTCAGGGGATGCCACTGAAGGATGCACTGGAGGAGGAGGACTGGGAACCTGGTGCAAAAAGAGAACTGAGCCTCCCGAGGGAGCTATTTCTGCTGGGATGGGGGCAGGTTCTGGGTAGAGGGTGCTGAAGCTAGACCCGGAGGCTCCTCCAATGACAGGGGCCATGAGGGAGACACCTTGGCTGGAAGAGGACATAGCACCCTCCTCTTTCTTCCTCCCTGCCCCCAGCTGAGTAAGAAGTATGGACCAGTGTTCACCGTCTGCCTGGGACCCTGGCGGCCCGTGGTGGTCCTGGTTGGGCAGGAGGCTGTGCGGGAAGCCCTGGGAGGTCAGGCTGAGGAGTTCAGCGGCCGAGGAACCATAGCGATGCTGGAACGGACTTTCGACGGCCATGGTAAGTCAAGGGCTGGTAGGCACTCTACGCACAGCCTGCCACCACTTACTGGTGTGTGATTTGCACACGGCTCAGTGCCTCTGTTTCCTCATCTGTAAAATGGGGTGATAACAGTGCCCATCGGCCGGGCACAGTGGCTCATGCCTGAAATCCCAACACTTTGGGAGGTGGAGGTGGATGCGTCACTTGAGATCAGGAGTTCCAGACCAGCCTGGCCAACATGGCGAAACCCTGTCTCTATTAAAAATA